AGTATAGCTGTTTTCCAATGTGATTGTAAACTCCCTTTTTTTTTTTTTTTTTTGAGATAGAGTCTCACTCTGTCGCCCAGGCTGGAGTGCAGCGTGATCTCAGCTTACCAAAACCTCTGCTTCCTGGATTCACGCAATTCTCCTGCCTCAGCTGCCGAGTAGCTGGGATTATAGGTGTGCATCACACCTAGTTAATTTTTTTTTTTTTTTGTATTTTAATTAGAGACATGGTTTTGGTTTCACCATGTTGGCCAGGCTGGTCTTGGAACTCCTGACCTCCGGTGATCCACTCACCTCAGCCTATCAAAGTGCTGGGATTACAAGCGTGAGTTACCACACCCGATCCTCATTTATCTTTTTATCTTCACAGCCCTAACACAGTGCCTTATACGCTTTATTATTTATTTAAGACAAGTTCTTGCTCTCCTATAGGCTAGAGTGCAGTGGCCTGACCATGGCTCACTGCAGCCTCGACCTCCCAGGCTCAAACGATCAATCATCCCACCTCAGCCTACCTCCCTACCCCCGACCCCATGGAAGCTGGGAGTGGAGGCACATGCCACTACGCCCAGATAATTTTATTTATTTTTTTGTAGACACAGGGTCTCACTATGTTGTCCAGACTGGTCTCAAAACCCCTGGTCTGAAAAATCCTTCCGCCTTGGCCTCCCAAAGTACTGGGATTGCATGGTCTTGAGCCACTACGCCTGGCCCCTTATACACATTTTACAAATGTTTATTGAATGGACATGCATTTTAAAAAGAATGAAATTCATTTGGTCAAAATAACAAACCTAATTGTGGAGTTTTCAAAAGCATTTCATTTCAAACTAATAAAAGATGTTCTTTATATTTCTCATCAGCATAATTCTGTTTAAACACAGTCACATACACAAAGAAATGCTGTTTTCTATTTTCTAAATAGAATACTGTACTGACATAATTTGAGTTTTGATTTATTAAGATTTTGTGTTACCTCATGGGACTATGAAGCCTCTTTAGTAGTCATTCAGACTGTTCCCAGACTATTTCAGTTCTCCTCTTTCTGGGCACATGGTAGAAATGCATTTTCCCATCTCCTTGAATTTGGGTGTAGTTAAGTGGCTTTTGGCCAACGAAATAGCAGTGGAAGTTACATGTGTCACTTCCAGACAGAGGCCCTTAAGAGCCAATGTATGCCAGGTGCGATGGCTCACGCCTGTAATCCCAGCACTTTGGAAAGCTGAGGCAGGTGGATCACAAGGTCAGAATTCGAGACCAGCCTGGCCAACATGGTGAAACTCTGTCCCTACTAAAAATACAAAAATTAGCTGGGTGTGATGGTGGGCACCTGTAATTCCATCTACTCGGGAGGTTGAGGCAGGAGAATCCCTTGAAACCGGAAGGCAGAGGTTGCAGTAAGCCAAGATCACACCGTCGCACTCCAGCCTGGGCAGCAACAACAAAACTCAATCTCAAAAAAAAAAAGCCAAGGTACAATCACCACACCCTTTTCCCTGTCCCAACAACTGTGGAAGCACATGTTGAGATACAGCCTCCGACAGACTGAGATCAACCATTTGTAATGGAGTTGCTGACCTGCTTGGGCATGTAGTATGATGGAAAAAAATTCTTTGCTGTTTAAAATCAATAGGATGTGAGAGTTCTTTTGTTACCCCAGCATAATCTATCCTGCCTGGTATACTTAGTAAACCCCTTTCTCATAAATGGAGTGAGACAATGAATAGCTCTGGCCCTCTATTTTCAGGATGGTATCATTTTGTACAGCACTATCATTTAGAGAATACTTTTGAATGGAAGTGTCCCTCATTATCCAAACTCTCATCATTCAAACACAGGAACTGAATGGATTCTGATAAATTTTTAGATCAATACCTCATTCTCTCAACTCTCCGTACTTGCCATCTTGAATTCTGGAACCAAATACATTTGGATAGGTGCAATTCCTTGCCTTCCAAACTCTTGCCATCTGCACTCAGGAATGAAATAAATTTAGACATTGAAGATTCTTGATATATTATTTCATTTGCACTCTTAAAGCTGTTTTTCTACTTCCTAGTACCCAGTAGATTCTCAATATTTATTCTATAAATGAATTCAAGTGCTGTCATCATTCTAATTTTACAAATAAGGAAATGGAGAGGTTCATCAACTTGCTGGAAACAACCCTGCACACACATTAGTGGCAAAATCCCAGATTTTCTGGCTTCAAATCTTCACTCTTTCCACTCTGTACTGTGCTTTCTTAGGTCTCTTATAGTTATGGAATGCTTATGATAGTAAATTAACAGTACAAATAGTATTTGTGATAAAAAAATGTCAACCACATATTTACATCCAAGAATAATTAAAGTCATTCCTCAAAAACTTCTAATTGGCTACACCTAGTCTACTTCATAGACACTAAGTACCCTGAAGCACAGAACAAGGAGGTGCCCTAGAGGTCCTTCAATAGGCAACTTGCAGAACAATGAAGAAATGTGAAAGAATTGGGGGAAAGTAGTGTTCTCCTTTGCTACACAGTATGTTAAAATCCTGACTTTTAGATTATCTTCACTTTGGTCCTTACCAAATTGGCTAACCTCAACTCTTTCCTTCCCAATTCTCATCAAACCTCAGTTGTATGAAAGACTAATAAAGAACTGCCCGAAGAATAGACAATTCATCTATTTTTATTTTTTGAGGTGGAGTCTCACTCTGTCACCCAGGCTGGAGTGCAGTGGTACCATCTAGGCTCACTGCAACCTCCGTCTCTCAGGTTCAAGGGATTCTCCTCCTTCAGCCTCCCAAGCTGGGACTACAGGTATGTGCCACCACCTCCGGCTACTATTGGTATTTTTAGTAGAGACGGGGTTTAATCGTGTTGTTCAGGCTGGTCTTGAACTCCTGACCTCAAGTGATCCACCCGCCTTGGCCTCCCAAAGTGCTGGGATTACAGGTGTGAGCCACCACACCCAGCTAATTCATACATTTTTATAGGTTCTGTGGTCCTCAATTTGTGTTACATACTCAAACAAATTTGGAAAAGATCACACACTATATCCCTCTTTAAAACAGCAACTTGAACATTAGCATAGTAAACCTTCAAGATATTTCGTAGTAAAACTAGTTAAATTTTCTAACCTAGTTATCTCAAACTTACTTGAGCTCAGAATCTTATTGCAAGCAAGGAAATATTTTCTCATTCCTTAGAACACAGTTTGGGAAATACTGTTCTAAATCATTCCAAACAAGTGACTCCTTTAGAGAATTTGTTACAGTTTTATTACTCTCCTGTATTGAAAAACACTGTTGTGCAAAATTCACTATTTTTGGTAGGGGTGTTTTAAAGATATTGTCTACTGCATCCCGTATCTCCTTTTTATTAGGGCACATGAGGAAGTCTGCCTCTTAGGACTCATTACTGGAAAACTTGCTTAGGACAGAACTGTTTTTTGTTTTGTTTTGTTTTTAATCTTGGAATTAGAAACACAATGAAACTTTGTTTTATTTTATTGATTTTTTTGAAACAGGGGTCTCGCCATGTTCGCCAGGCTGGTCTTGAACTCCTGAGCTCAAGTGATCCGCCCACCATGGCCTCCCAAACTGCTGGGATTACAGGCGTGAGTCACCACGCCCGGCCAAAACAGGCTGAAACTTATGTTGTTCCTTTTTCTCTTTTTTTTCCTAGTTCCCAGGAAGCCCAAAGCCCAAACTGTGACTCATCTCTAGTACAGGATCTTATAAAAAGGAACTTGATATTATCTTTTTTCTTGACATTGTATTCTCTTTCTGCTCTACTTCAATTTTCCGAGTTTGTTTTAACCTATGGTACTACATGGTCACTAATGTGCTTCAAATATATCGTTTCTGGAACTATATATTGTATATATTGCATCTTCTTGCAATTTCATGTTGATTCCGCCCTTCCTGCCCCATGACCCAACAATGTCAGCGTATTCATCTTTGTGTAAAAGTATTCCCTTAAGTCATAACGAGACAATAGGACACACACATTCACAATGCAGTCAAATCTGTAAATGCTGAAAACGAGTGGGGGGGGGGGTCATGAATGGGTTTTTTTTGCCGCCAGAGGTCTAATAACCAAAAAGAGTTATTAAACTGTTTCCTAACAGGAAGGAGAATCAAAATTTATTTAGAACCAGCAGCTGCCAGGCACTTAACAGCAGCTCCATTTTTCAAAGCAAGCAGAAGGGGCATTTGCACATCTATTGCACATCTTTCTGGAAGAAGGCACCAGAAACAATATTGGGAAGGTGCAGGGGTGAGTGGGGAGAGCCTGTTTATCCCTTTTGTACCTTTTGAATTCTATGAACTTGTCGACTATTAATATTTTAAAAAATGAAATGAAGTGATAAATAACGACAGTAACGCTTTACTCTTTGACCCAGAAAACTTTCTCCCCAGCTTCTGATCCCAGAGCATGCACTGAAATAAATGCCTAAACGCAAAAGTTTCACCAGGCACGCCGGGTCTCGGCAAAATGAAGTCCCGGTCTTATTTTCCACCACTCCGGGGGCGAGGCTATTATTTAAAAGAAAAACTTAAAAACTTAGGTTACAATTGCCTGCAAGTAATAAGGAGAGGGTAAACCTCTCAAATGGTTTCCCGTTTGTTTTACTGGCAGGGACAGTCCATGAAAGCAGCAACTTGTGCACCGCAGTCCGCTCCTCACCGCCGGCCACCAGCGCCGCGTCCACAACTTTCCACAACTCGAGGGCGCCCCGGGCCGCTGCTCCAGCGCTCGGGGTTGCGCAGTAGGGAGGCAGGGCCGGGGTTCGAGTCCCGGGCGCGGTATGGGGAGGCGCTCGCTCGGCCCAGCCCCTCCGGACTGGGGGGCCTCGCAGTCGCCTCCATGAGGGGCCGCGTCCTCCCAGCCGGCGCGTTCGGGGCGGCAGCGGCGGGGCGCGAGAGTCGCGTGGGGGCGGGGAGCGGGCCCTGCCGCGCGGGCCAGCCCGAGGCGACCCCCTCCCCGACACCGAGGAGGAAGTCGTACTTACCGCGTCGCGCTCTGGAGGCGGCCGGGGGTCAAGGCGGGCGGGGCGGCCAGGCGGGAGGAGCGGGGGAGGCGGGGGCCGGGGCCGGCGAGCTGAGGAGAAGGATGCTCGGCCCCTCGCGCGCCCCCAGCCCCGTCCCGGCTGCCTCACCCCCGGCGCCGGCCGGCCCGGAGCGAGACACTCCCGCTCCGTCAGGCGGCGCCAGGCTGTAGGGGTCAGGGTTCCCGGACGACCCCGGAGGGGGCGGGCGAGTATGTGGGGGTCGGGGACCAGCTCGCCCGTCAGTCCCGGCGCGGCGCGAGAGGCTGCCCGCCCCGCCCCCTCCCGCCAGGCCCCGCCCCGCCCCCTCCCGCC